TCAGGTACCGACGTACAACTTTACAGAAATCAAAAGGAACACTATTTCAAATTTTAGGCACCCACAGAAAAGCCAGTCTAAGGCAGCAGAATAAAACTGTTGCAAAAGATACCTTTGTTGAACAAATCCCTACCATCCCAAGCCACAATCAAGCTGTTGTCAGTCTCCTTTCACAGGGAAGGAGCAGTTGGTCTGGCAAACAGACACTGTCTAGGGCTGGGATGCCTCCAGCCTGTACACAAAAATACTTCTGATCTACCTAGGACCAGAAACAACTCATAAAGTAGGGGCAGTAATACCCAGCCTCAAGCAGAAGGAGAACAGGAGAGTAGAATCAATCATATCTGTAGTGTTTTGAGATCCACCATTTAATGTGATTGCTGTATGACTGACCCTTGTAATCTAGGCAGTGCCAGCACAACATGCTTGCCAGACCCCACAGTCCTTTAGTCAGCTTGCACCAGTTTCAGTGTAGAAAAGGCTCAGGTGCTCTCTATAAATCAGTGAAGTCTCATGAATCTTTGCTCTGCTGTGGCGCTGTGTAGAGAAGGACCCTAGCCAGACAACACTGCAGCCCCACTGGCATCCAACTTTCCCTTCTGGAAGCCCTGTGCCACACTAACACCCCCCCCCCAAAAAAATTCTGCCATCAGTCCCATAAGCAGGGAGCTACCGCTCCTTTGAGGGAAGGAGGTAGGCAAGTTGGAGTGCCAATAAGTTAAAGATGCACTTTTAAAGTCCCTTTGCAAACAATAATGACAAAGTGAAGTGGCAGGGCAGGGGGAGTGCAGGCTAAAGAGCTCCCCCCCCATCTAAAACCCCGAGCAGGAAAGAACAAGGGAGATCTCTGTACAGCCCAGTCAGAATAGAGCCTGCTGTGGGAACCCCAGCTGCTGTCTTCTCCTTCCTTTGCCTCCTACATATGTTAAATGGATTTGCCACTTTAATATTCTTTTCAAGCAAGCCTCAAAGAAGCTAATTTACGATGCATAATGACTACAAGGCTCTGCTAGTAGATGCATTTAAAATCTCTACATTGTATCAGAGAGCAAGCCTCCCTTCACCTCCTTTTTGAGCAGAAGCTGCCATCCATAACCTATCAGGAATGTAAAGGGTGTTCCCCAGCAAACAGCCACCACCAACACCAATTACCCTACCTGTGTAATGACGAGTCTACAAATCAGGCTGCAGAGTCAGAGGTGGAAAAAGCAGTGTGCTGGCACCATCCTGCATGTTCACATAGTAAAAACTGACATAATTTGGCAGCTGTATTAAAGGGGATTCTCAATTATACCCCACCCCCTACTGCTTTAGCCTTCTCCAGGCTAAACACACCCAGCTGGAATTTCTAGCATATGGACTCTTACAGCATATCAGTCTTCAACATGCATGCCATGCAGGTATTCCAATATCAGCAGCAGCAGCTGTGGTGGCCCCAGACTCTTGCATGTTAAAGAGTTCTGAGCAAGGAACTAGACCAAGGAGGGAAAAAGAGGAGTGACAATATGGTTCATTCTCACCCCCTTATGCAGGAAGCACCTGGTATAGCAAGGAGAAAGGCATCAGAGGCACTGCACAAACGTTTTAGATACAGATATGCTGCACCATGTTCCAGGAGAAAGTCTGCTGTTTTGTTCTCTTAAGGACCAGAAACTCCCTTTGAGAAGCAGTAGAATCCTACGTGAAAATTCAGTATTGCCGAATGCAAAGGGCTTTTAACTATTGAGTAATATTTTTACTTTGATGCTTAATTACCCCCTACAGTCCACAAACCTCTCCCCGTTGCTTCAGTCTGCAGGCTCCACAATAGCTATGAAGCAAACAGCAATTACACATTTATTCCAGCAACATTAATGTAACCTGAGTGGGCTCTGTTAATGCATAACTCCATGCTGCCTAGCAGCAAAATGTAAAGGACAGTCTGAATTGGTAACAGGCTGCTTGCTCTCTGCTGGCCTTCACATCAGCATAGCTGATAACGATGCAAGACAAAGCTATACCTAATTAACATACATGAATTTTAACCAGGAATTCATTCCCATATATTAGAAAAAAAGCCCTGGACAGCTTCTGCCCCTCCATGGCTTGTTAACAGTTTCTCTGGTGAGATAAGGCAGGCTCACAGAAATACTTCAACTCATTTGTGCTGGTGAAAAGGCAGGAACAGAGCCCCAGAACACCCCTGCAGGGCCTGAGGCTTTGGGCTGTGCCTGATCTCAGATGCTACAGTAGACAAGATCCAGGCTAAATGTTTTTGATGAGCCTGCCTGGTGCTACAGCTGTGATTCCTACTCTACATAGCTGAAGGCTCCACAGAAACCGTGCATGGCATAGCCAGGCATCAGGCAAAATGTATCACCGAGAATCAGACGCTAAGGATTCTCAACAACACCTTAAGGGGAAAAAACTGATGGGCTGCAACAATGCTAGTGCAGTGGCTGCGAGACAAAGCCAGCCTGTTACTGCCCCAGTGCAAGGTTAGCTCTCATTAGCACAGGATGAACTTTGTTCCCCAAAAGTAGTAAATTCCTCTCCTTTGCATTAGGAATTAGTTAGCATCTAATAGCCTAGAGAAAAGGGGAAGGAAAGAAGTCAATTGCTCCAGCCCCCCCATGTAGTTTTGAAAACTTCCATACAGTAAAACATTACTCTGATGCACTGGCTCCTACTGATTCAGAGAAAACATAGCCTGAACACAATGTCAAGAAAGTACTGACCAGAAAGCCTGGGTCAAAGCTCTGTGTCCAATAGATTCCCCCTGCAGCTGGGACCATGGGAGGAGGTATGTACACTGAACAGCAGAGCTCAAGTTTCTTGGAAGTTGACCCTGATGCAGCTGCATCGAGAAAAGCTCCTGTTAAATTACAAAAGCAGAACAGTTTTAATTACAAATATAGTATTTACCTGATGGCAAAGCCTCAGGCAAACCTACAGCAAGCACCAGCCTTTCCTTTGTTTCTTCCCTCATCCTAGTGAATAGCATTCAAGGCGCAGGCCAATTACTAGGACAGTTTGTATGCAGCCCCTTTAACTAGATGTCTAGTTCTTTAATGATGTTTGATTCTGCTACTCCTTGTCCTCAGGTAATTACAGGCTAGGCACAGTATGGCACAGTATGGCCTAGCTATGTCTCATATGCACTCGCCTCAGAGGCTTCCTACCCTGGGAAGTGTCATAAAGCAAGCTGCTCTTGCATATGAGCAAACAGGGAGGAAATGCAGCTTGATCCTCATGTATAAAATGGCATTTCCAACCCATATGGTGGCTGTGAAGCTCCAAGTGATGGGGCTTTATTACTGAAGATGGAAGTCAGACTAGTCAATATGGATTCCATGATGGAGGCCATGTCAGCTCCCCTTAAACTGTCTTACTTCTCTGGAAGCATATCTTTCCTTTATCTAGCTATCTGTTTATTCAAACCATTTCATTTCATTCAAATCTTAAATGAGATGCAGATTACTACAGAAGTTCATCGATTATACTTACTTTATTAGAAACAGAGTTTCCACAGATCTAGTGTAGTCACCTCCAGGGAAGAAGGGCACTATCACAGGTCTCATTCCTAAAGACAGTTATCTAGCCGGAGCTAGTACCTTACCTGCTAGAAACGACAACCTTTGTGTCAAGATCTGAGGGACAATTTCACAGTGGCAGATGCAAAACAGTCTTGCTTGGCCTTTTACTCGCATCTAACAGGCAGCATTTAGTCGTCTCCCCCAGCTATCTTTTGAAATGTAGATTATAAAAAAAAAACCAAACAATGTGGGCTCTAGAGATAAGAGGAGCACAGTCTGAAAGTGAGGATGTGTTGAACAGCCTCGATAGTTATGAAATATTGTCACATAGAAGAAAACAGTAATGTATGTCAACTGAGCAAATGCTTCAGCACTTCCACAACCAGTAGCAATGCCTAGTTAGACTACATTTGCTTCCACTTGGCAACTGCAAGACACTTGGTAACACGTTTGCTCCTCAGGTTGATGGAAATTACAATTCTGATTCCAGCTCTGAGATTCTAATTTACATTTTTGACCTCCTCCAAGTCTCCACTCCCTTCCCCCATTCCAGGAGGCTGGGCTTCAGATACTTTTTTTCATATATGCCTCAATGCAGAGACTGAGTGACTGTTTCACAGAAGAGCTAAACAATTAAGTAAAATACTTGCCAAAATAATTTTATTTCCTTTGAGCATTCCAATATTTATAAACATACTTTCTATAACTTTCCAAGACAACCTAGCAGCATCTGAGCACCAAACAATTCTCTGAACTTAGCTACATTTTTTTTTTTTAAAACAACTTTATGAAAACAGGTTCTCTTTCCGCTCTGAAAGTACAAAATTATTTATGAAGTTGAATTGCTTGGCAACAGAAAGAAGCAACATTTTCTTCCATAAAAAGCAATTTATTTTCTTTGCAGTCTCATTTTGCAGGCAGGGACTATTAGAAGCAGATTCTTATAGGGCTTATTATAGGTCACTGGGATACTAAAGTGCATCTGTTTATTATCTCTTCATAGGTGCCACTTACACTTCTCAGAAATAAGACTGACACAACACTGGTATAGGCTTGTGGTTTTAAGGATTGATTTACATTGAGAATCAAGTATTGGCTTTTCAGGGGCGGTACTTGTGGATGATTTTCCTGGTTAGGACAAGTTGGCACTTTTATATACAACAGGAAAGCTGTTTGTATAGTTTTCAACACAACTGTAATCCATGGCCTAAGATAAGGCTGATGCATTAGTAATCACAAAATAATATTCCATTGTATTGGTATACACCCTTATTTAGGGTATGTATTTATGCAAAATGAAAATATGGAGGTTACTCGGGAGTGCAAGTATGTTTTAATTCAAGCCCTGAGCCCAATTACTCTTGTAAATTACTGCCTCCAAAATGTCCTCAAGTATATAAACAGGAACTGGCTGCAATGGTAAATAATACATCACCATTTCTCCAAGGAGGCCGTGTTCTAAATTTTCTAACTTTTAAAATTTGTTTTACATTAATTTTAATGGACTATTTTGAAATTAGAAATGTTAAAGAATAGCAGGTAATTCCATCTTTATATGGCAATGTTGTTTAAGTAACTTTATTGTTAATAAAAATGTAGTTATTTTACTCTGAACAAGAACACTACATGCACATAACCTCTGCATAAGTGACTTAAAAATTCCCAGTCCTTAAAATAATTACCAAAATATCAGCACTGATGAGAATTTCTGAGCAAGGGAAAAAGAACTGCAGATCACCCTTAGGACACAAGGTAAGCATCGAACTCCTGGCACTCATAGCAAGCAACACTGTCTAATACCCACTCTCGAGTCACCATGGCAACATTGTTCTTTTGCTGGATTGCTGTAAGACAAAGACACAAACGATAAAGCTATTATCAATGAGTCAGAGCAAGCCTAAGGTGAGCTTACTGATGTCTTTCAGATTAAGCTATTTGCTTTAACATTTTAAAGGCCTTGATAAAAAAACAAGAGTCTAAAAACAGTGATGTGGCACTACTACTCCTTTTAACAATGCAGGTAATATTGCAGCTCCAAAAAGAATAGCTGTCTGGCAAATGGTCAGGCAGGAAGTTTTGAACACCATGGAATAAACACTAAAAGCAAAGAGTGCAGTCCTTGTTATCTTTTAATTTAAGACCTCGGTGACAGAGCCTCAGTTCCTGTCTGCTCAGACATACTGAGTATGTGACAAGCAATGAGTCTCATTAAGAGAGAAGCAACAGAAAATTACTGAAGTGCTCCCAGACTGTTCTTCACTGTTTCAGGATCTTTTTCTTTATTTTCTCATTTTCCCAGTGCCATGGAAACAGCTGTTGTTTTTACATCATCCTCCTGCTCAATTTTTTTGTTGAACTCCACTGTAGCCTAACTAGCTCCCATTCATCCCATAACTCCCACTCTCATTTAAAAGTAAGTTAGTCTGGAACACTTGCACTTTCAAAGTCTCATGGTTTCTCTGGAGCATTTTGATAAAAAAAAGAAAAAAAAGGCAAAGCTATATCAGTTAACACTTCGTAGCTAGATATTCTTTCCAGACCAAGAGAATCTTGTCTCATCTGAAGCTTTCTCCTAGATCTTACTAGTCCTCCATGGGGCATGCTTCCCCACCTTTTGGAAACCATCTCCAATCAGAAAAGTTTCCGTAAAGCTGATGATATGCAGGGCAACTGAGCCAAGAATAGGATTTGCCTGCCAGACTATCTTTTAAGACTCTATTGCTGATTCTTGAGATAATATACCTTGTCCTTTCAGATTTTTCTTCCAAGACATACCTTCATCTCTAGATGCAGTAGGATTTTACTTTGATTCCTCTACAAACCTCTCTGATATTTAACTATTAAAAGGACTGAGGTGATAAAGACATTCAGTGTGTATCATAAAACAGTCCATGACAGTGAGTCATTTTACCTTTATAATCCATGTTTTCCATCCACGCATCTGGCTGCACAACCACGACAGCAGTAGAATTCTAGGATTTCAAGATAAGAAAATAAAAATGTTACTGTTATCTGTCTGTCATTAAATCACTCTCACACCTACTGCAGAGAGTGATAACTGGGCTAACTCTGCTTCAGTGCATCACTTCAGAGAGGACTTTAAGAAGTGGTAATAGAGAGAGAAAGACATTAGTTCTAAGATTTTTCTGTGATCTCTCTCCAGGAATGCTGTGACTAAGTTAAGGCACTAAAGGCTTTTTGTGCTGGGAAGTGAGGCTCAGTGCTGATTTCAAGAGAGATTAGCTATCTGGCCTACATAGAGTACTCTGATCACTTTTCCACTACAAGTTAGCCTGTCTTCTAATAGAGAGTGGCCAGGGCCTAGAACACAAGAACTGTTGCCATGCCAGTTTGGCATCATTACTGCGCAGACAGTTCTCTCTGGTGCATACAGGTATGTTAGTCTTTGACAAGCCCATGTAATCTTTCAACATGTTGTGTATTACATAACTATAGACCGTTCACTGTGTTAAGTGTAACATTCATTAATACTTACTGTCTTGTGTGTGAACAGATGAAGTTGCTTCACTACAGAGGCACCACAAAGCTCCACCATCCATTCTAGATGTTCTGAAGATATCAGATAAACAGTCTATTACTTCGATGTTTTTATCATGTTGAAACTGATACTATTCCCTAAGCCCTCATGTGTTTGTTCCAAGATATAAACTATCACCATTTGAAAGAAATGTAAAAGCCTTAGTAGAGAATAAGTCCTTTCACTTTCTAGCCTGCTGAGGAACATCAACTCACCCTCTAGTCAGGACTAAACAAAACAAAAAACCCTGAAAAAGCAAAACACCACATGCCCAAAACTTAAAGAGAAAGTCACTAACAATTTATTTCCTCTTATCATAAGGATATAAGACATGAAATTAAAATTAAAAATCAGAATTTGGAACTGTGATTATCTCATTAACAAAAGTAGCCAAAGTATTTAATTTCCACCAATTTGTTGAATTGATAGTGAAGATAAGTAAGTCTCTCAAGTATAAGAGCCATAATTGATGATCACTGCAGCAGGTGAAAGCACTGCATCCTCTGTAGTAATGATTGTAAATGTCAAGAGATGTGAGGATATTTCTCCAGTCAAAAATGAAGTTATATTGGACAAGTCAGAAAGTACCTGCTGAATAAGCTACAAAAATGGGAAGAGAGGTACAAATATTTTAAATAGAAAAATTCTAGCTTAAATTTTGAAAACATCTACAATACTTTATTTAATTTTAAACTAACAAAAAGAAGCTATCCTGCCCAGCTTTTTCTTTATATATAAACTCCTGGCTTTGTTGTCTGTTTCACTTTTAACATCTGCTGCTAGAGAGAAGATTACACTGAGGATGTGTCAACTGCTAGAAAAACAATACTTAGGAACTGTTTACTAAGACAGAAGAAAAAAATGCTCAAATACAAGTGTTCAACAGCATCTAAACCAATTACCAGACAGCATGATATTACTGCTTTTCCTTCATTGCTAGAGAATCAGAGATAAACTAGATAAAAGGCTTGTTTGGAAATGCAGCAAAATTGCCAGAGCAGTTCTCTGAGGACGTCCAAATAGCAGAGAACACCATTTCCATTCTATCTGGAGATAGAACTGGAGAAAGTTCTTTACCTACACTATACCTCATGTAGGTATTTTGAAACTTTCAGAGTAAAAGAGGTACAAGAGTATCGAAGGAGAGGTCAAATGTAAAACTCTGATGAATGCACACAATCCCCCTCCAAATATTTTTTTATCCTAGAGTTCATTTAATTGCACTAAAATGACACACCTGTAGTCATATCAGTGAAAGGTCCATAGCAACAGATCTCAAAGTCTTTAAAGATCTGAAAAAACAAGGAACATGTTAACAGAGTACATATGGCATCTTTAAAGGACAATACTTAATATGCTGGTTTCACTGCACTTCTAGGACTGGTTAACAAGCTATCGCTGTTTCACAAAGTATATCTGAAGCTCTTCGTAACCTACAAAACAGAACATCATCATCAAAAACCCCCAACCCTGTGCTATCCTATACTGATGTTATAAAAAGACAGCATTCACTCTAAGCGTAGTGAGTCACTTGAGCATATCTGCACTGCTGCTGACAGAGCATATCTGCACTGCTGCTGACAGAGCTCACCTTTCATGTATAAAAATGCTTAATTTGTACAACTCTGTATATACAGAACAGCAGAGAAATTGGAAGACATTCCAGATATTCAGCTAGCATAGCCACATATCTGAAACAGTCACAGCAGGACAGGATTTTCCTCCCTGATGTGCTCATACCTTTTCAGTCAGAGACTGTCTAGCCCTCTTAGGACCTTGGTGGTTTCTTCCGTTGATTACATCTCCTCTAACTTCAAAGTTCTCCTGGAACATACCATAAACAAGCAATCAGAAATTAGAGACCGAGAACACTTTGCTGGTCAGAATTCTGGATCAGAACAGGAAGAAGTTGTCAGATTTCAGAACTGGAAACCTTACAATTAGGTGTGTGCAGAAAATTAATTAAAAGGCTTTTGAAGAAAAATGATGGAGAGCAGTAATGAAACCCCTGCAGCATCAGACAATTTTTAAAGAAACAAATTATAGTCAAACCGTATAGTAGTCTAGCAAACTGTGTAAAAGGGGCACACTCCAAGACTATAATTAACTTCCATCAGTAAAAATTAATTTCTATCAAATGAGACATCAGTACATAACCTCTAGATCTTCAACATCTATTTTATTTCAAGGCATTCACTTAGTATATAGATTAATAACAAATACAGTGCTGCATTTGATAATTTCAGGCCTACATCTGACTCAAACTCCCACTTCTCCAATACTTTCTTGAAACTTCTCCAAAACTTCCATGCAGTCTAACCTGCTACTAGATTATGAAGAGCAGCTGCATTATTTCCAGTTTACTTGAAAAAAAAAAAAAATTGGTTTTCATTGTAATTGGAGGCTCTTCTCCTTGCTTAAAGCAATGTGAGAGTGTGTGACAATGTTAACAGCTGTCCCATATTCTAGCATTCCCAGTAAGTTCTGTAGCAACTTCCCCCTTTCACCCCAAGCACAGGAGGGCCTTTAATAACCCTTCCTAGGGCCTTTTTGGGACTAAGATTTTTCTTCTTCACCCTTGGCTTGACAAAAGGGCATATGGATTTCACACCAGAAAGTGGGCATTTCTGCTCATTAGATATATGAAATCCGTACTGTGTCACTAACATGACATTATCCAGAAATCTGTACTAGAGAATGAAAATCCAAGTACTACCTGGGAATACAAAAATCCACCTAAATCAGGATCGTATCAAATAAGCCATTTCTACTAGGAAAGGTAATAAATGCTGGAACGAGTTTCTAAAGTATAAAAACAAAACAAAACTATGTATATAGCTATGTTCTGACATTATTTCCTTAAGCAGACAACAGATCTTTTCCTCTATGCTGTAATCCATCAACATCAGTAGGAACACTTATAAAAAAAAGTGCCTATAATCTGTTCCAAAAAAATAACAGGGACCCATTATGTCTTCAATAACAATGAATACATATAGCTTAAGCGTGGCTTTCGGTCCTAGCATTTGGTAAGACTAGAATCCCAGTTTTCAGAGCCAAATTTCCATATATTAAATGTTTAGACAGTATCTGAGGCTACTAATAGGTCTATCAATGTAACAGCATTGCTTACACATTTGACATTTCAGTCTTAAGATAAAAGACCTACCTCATCCAGTATCCTTCCTTCTTTAAAAGACTGAATTACCCCTAAATAAAAAGATCAGAACAGGACAAGTCATTTTATCCAGCAAAATTGTCCTTCCACTGCCAATAGTCTAACTTCATTGCTATATTAAACAGAAGGTATTTGTACTAAGGGAAACTGAATACTGTATGATGCCTGAAAGAACTTAAATAATTTTTTTACCTTTTATAAATAATAGTAATTTTGCACTAACTGATGCCATGCATCTCAAAGATTTAAATTAAGAGGGAGGAAAGGCTTTTGTCAGGGTAGCGAGCAATCCAATGTGGTTATTTGAAAGCAGGAAAAGTATTCAGAAGAGAAAGAAGCTTGATGTTGCTGTTTGTTTGGTTTTGTTTTGTTTGTTTGTTTTTTTATTTATTTTAAAGTATTTAGAAGAAACTCTGCAAAACATCAGATGCCAAGACATGAAGAGATGCATTTTTTTTTT